GTTTCGTTATGAAAGCGAAACTACTTTGTTTGGCCTTCCAAAAGAGGGCACAACTAGAAGTCAGTGGTTAAGTTTTATTTACAACACTGTTCCGGAACAGTTCAACTCAAATGCTTTGTAAAAATCGAAAGGCGTTTCAGAAAGGCGGGGCATAGAGGAGAAACAATAATGTACAGTATGTGGAAAATAATGTGTGTTTTTAACCTTAAACCGCATAAACACATTGCATTACACCAAATACACAAAATAATGTTCTTTTTAGCAACGTCATATGACCCCTTTAAAAAATCTATACTTAAATGTTAAAACATTTATTGTTTTTATACTCAAATAAACGCTCTGTTTTCAAGCACAGATTATCATTTTATTGGTTGCACTTTATTTTACAGTCCTGTTACTCATGTACATACTATGTACTTATTATAGTAGGTACTAACCCTGAACCTACTCCTAAACCTAACCCTACCCCATGTAGTTTATTTCTTAAAATAATTGTTACAGATGTACAACTTTCAGGCTCATCTGATCAAAAGATAAACCATGCGCTCTTATTTGTTGTTAATTTTGTTGATATATCAGCAAAAATTTTGCTTCAGTTATAATAAACTCTACAATAAATGAATGAATAAATTCTAATCAATCACTGCCACTTTATTTCAGAGACAATACACTAAACATTTGATTTGTGCAGTTAACATTTTTAAATGGTCAAACAACCTAACATTTAACACCACAAGCACAGGTGGAGTGCCTTCAGATGGATACAGCAGATGCAACTATTTCAATTCTTTTAGAGCTCCTTGGATTCAACCCACTTTGTTTTCCTCATCCTTTTGAAATAAAAAGATATTAGTGCATAATTTGTTTGTTAATTTCATCACGTAGGATAGACTGTCTGACAGTTACTATAGGACAGCTTCTGATCAAAACAGATTAAAAAGACTTATGAATTGATGACAAGTGGAATCATTTATAAATCTGCTGTTGTCAACAAAAAGCAGCACTGAGGTCTTCCTGTGGGTTTCTGCCTAAATAAAAGCTGAGAAAAAGCAAGAACTCCATCAACATTCATAAATGTTAGTATTGACGTTGTTCTGTAAAATAAAATAAAAAAGACAGTAATAATGATAATAATAATTACAACAGCTCTATTAACACATTTATTATAACATTCACACTTAGTGTTCAAATTAGGATCGGTAATATTTTAGTTTTAAAAGAATTATCTTCTGCTCCGCAAGGCTGCATTTATTCGTACAGTAAAAAAAATTTAAAAATACATGCCTGATTCAAGAAGGGGGTCTCAAATTACCAAAAAAGTATTATCTTACAAATTTTTCATTTTAATTTAAATTGTGCTTTGTTTATATAATGTCTGCTAGAAATGTAAAAAATGTTCAGTGTTAAGTAAAAATTTTTAATTGTTTTATAATTTACTTTTTCTTTGAAAAGCAAGATAAAACGGTAAAAAAAAGTAGGGATGTATGGATTGATACATCGATTAAATTTCTAACGATACGATGGTATAAATAGTAGTATAAATAGGCACCTTATTTTGACACATTTTCACCAATGTCCGTCTATGCATTACCGCCAACGCGTGCATTCTCATTCAAACTCACGTGTCGGGACGATAATACTGCCTGAAGGGCGAGCGTAAAAGACGCTCGGGATAGTTGACGGAATTGTCGAGCACTTGTGAGAAGTTTTCAACGTGCAGTGACACGCGCACACATCCAAAGTGCACGCATACAGACAGCTGCATCGACAACGCGCTAATACCTAATTGAGCATGGGTGAACAAATACAGACCAAATTACATCAACATCAACA